GTGGTCATGATGGATAATAGGGTATCCAATCTGTATAATTTAAGTGAGATTAAGCTCAAATGGAGAAGAAAATGAATAGCGTATTGAATGTGTAATATTGATTCTAGGTTTACAAAAACCCCCCATAGGGTATTTATAGAGAACTAAGAGCATCTCCAATGGTTGTTTCTAAGGACTTGCTTGCAATTTTCAAGCTACTAGCCCACCATTGGAGTGCATATATCCTTCTAGCTTGGGCAAGCAAATTAGTCAAAACAAGCTAATTGCTAGAAAGGAGAGAAACTTGAATTAAAATGGTAATTACCAAATATTTAATGTATTTGTAATTCATATAATAAATTAATTAAAAGTAACTTTAATCACATACCGTTAATTATATGTAGAGAATGCTTGGAAAATTGAGTCATACAATATTTTCTCCTACTCCATCTCTTTTGCCACTACTATTTATTTTTCATACGAAAAGTCTTCAAATAGAGAATTATGAAAATCCATACAACAAGTATTACTCTTGAAATATTTAAGCAAAAGTTCATATTTTTCAGTATGTATGTGTTGTTTGAATTTGATATTCCTTTTTTTACTTAACAAAATGCATATTATTGTACGAATTTAAATAATATACATTTTCACCCTTTTCGGCTTAGGGCCCGTTTGGTGGCTCTGTTTTTCAGTTTATCAGGTTTATCATCCAGCATTTTAACCAAACACTTAACTTTTGATTTCACGTGCTGAATTGTGTATAAATAAGAAAAACTAAAGTTGGAGTTACTTTTATGGGTGTAATGACTGAACCCTTTTATCTATTTTTAATATTATATTTTCTTTATTTTGCAAATAAAATATATTTTAAATATAATTTTTTCATAAAAAAGCAAATCAACCAATGCAACCACTTCCTCTAGAACTTCATAAATTTCAACAGAATCAGTTGATTCAACTGATTTCAATTTTATCAAACGGGCTCTTAATGTTGGGCGCTGGATTAATGTTTGGTCAAAGCCATAGTTGACGACCAACTTGATCTATTAGTCAAAGTTTGGTTACGTTTCCATGTCAACTTGATCGATTTGAAAATATTTCAAAAAAATATTATATTAATAAATCATTTCATTCAAAATGTATATTTTCAAAATTGATTGATTTGTGGGGCCTATTCTATTAAGATGCAAGCAATGTGGCTAACCATTGGACTATCACATGGATTAGCTAGAAAAAATGATGTGGCAAACAAAATTACAACATGTTTAGTTAATCATTCTAGATGCTCTAATGAGCTGGACTATAATATGGGCGGTGCTTGCATTGATTCTAGTTTTCTTAGTTTAAATACTCTCTCCTGCCCTTTTTAATATTGCATTTTTTTTTAATTCATTCACTAATTATCATAGTTTTTCTTTTCAAAAAACAATTCTATAAGATTGATTCGGAGTACTTGTTTTCTTTCCTCTCACAAAAATCTACCATGTGTGGATTCTTTTTCTTGAATGCTCATTATTAGAAGACTAATTAATTTAGGAACCATATACTCCGTATTTATGAATAAATCATATCCCGTACCGATGTAACTCTTTGGTTCCAATGTGAAATGATGACCTCTGTATTTTTGGTAACAATCATTGTGTTAAGAGAAGGTAGGTTCACAATTCATTCATCATCTTTGAATGAAAACAAGGATTTCTACTGCTCTTCTACTTTCCATAAAGAGGTGCAAAGAGTACACCCTCCCATCCAACTACTCCTCTCCCAACCAATAATAGTCTACTCCTATCAAATAAAAAATAAAAAATAATTTTTTTTTAATTTAACACATACGGAGTAGTTTTTTTACTATGTGAGAAAATTTTACTATAAGCATCAAACACTTTTCGTTTACTTTGTCATGCAATGTACAGTCATACAAGTCAACTTTGACAAAGTTTTACACAACATGAATGTATAATACTCCGTATAAAATAGCTTAAGGGTACTTCCATTTCATTAACATTCTTTTAATTAAATTGTAATCAAAGTTAACAAAAAGTGACTAAAAAAACACGAATTTCATACATAAATTTTCAAATAGGAATAAAACATGAATGAATTGAATTGCACATACAGAGACATTTCTTTTTACTCCTGGAGTGGGCTCCGTTTGTCCTATATAGTTGAAACCTTTTTCATTGAGTTAATGAATCATATTTTAAAAAAGATATAGTAGTAAAATGTACATATAACGTTTGGGTAAATTTTCTTCTCCTCCTATGAATAAAATAATTTAAATACTCAAAACTTTTAATGCTATTCTTGTGCTATTTCAATCATAACTTAAGCCTATTAACAACTATCTCTTCTTTGAAAAAAAAAAACTGACATGTATCCATTAAGATATCACATAGAAATTGAAGCAAACCCGTGAATAATTCTGTGTCAGCAAACAAAGACTGCAACTGAAAGGTTACTGTTCTGTTGTTAGTATAAGGATGTACAATAATTGTGTGCATACCTTTGAAGGTCACAATTAGTAGGCTGCCATTTATACTTGAGGTAAAGCTCATCACTTCTGCCATTCTTCTGGCAATTCAACCCGGCGTCAATAAATTTGCAGTCTTCATACAGTGGGTAAGAATCATCTTCAACCCAACTTCCTTCAAAAAAATTGCAGCTTTCTGATTCACTTGTGTCTATTGAATTCAATGAGGGGACTAGTAGCAGAAGAAGAAGATTCAGGAGGAGGAGGCTCCTGTTATGAGTCCATGTATCCATTTTCTTACCGGACAGAGAAAGTGGCAATTAGGTAGAGGCTTATGAATTTAAAAGAGGGGAGGAGACACAGGGGAAAAGTGGGAGAAGTGTTATAAGGTTTTACTCCCTCCGGAACTTAAAAATCTTCCCACTTTCTTTTTTCGTCCGTAACACAAAAATCTTCCCATTTCTAAATCTTCCCATCATACCCTCAATAATTCTTAAAATAATACACTATTACAACTACTTTTTTTGGATTTATCCTACATTCCACCACATTATTCCATTATTTTCCCATCATACCCTCAATAATTCATATCATCTTTCACTATTCTTAATCTACCTACTTTTGAAATGGGAAGATTTTAAAGATACGGAGGGAGTAGTATTCATAGAAAGGATTACTTTTTTTAATTTTTCTGTTTCAGAATTATGTGTCTTGAATTTTTGGGAGACAATAATGCCCCTAAATGACACCCCATCCCACCGTTTTTTGTGCTATGTTCTTTTCTTCGACTTCTTGGTGCTTCTTCCACTTTCATTCAAACTGGACCGGACCGGGAATGGTCGGTTCCAATATCGGGATAAAAAATTAAGGTTCCGGATCGGTACACTTGTTTTTTCCTTTTCTTGCATTAAAACTATTGAACAACATTTTATAATGTTTGAGATCCTTCTAATCTAAAAGATTGAAAGGGGTGGGGTAGGGAGTGGGAAGGGCATAGATGATTTTGAATACAAAAATGCTACTTGTAAACGTTGTCGTACACGGTCGTTTACATGCCGTTTTGTCTGTAATAGACAATTGATTTTTATTTTGGTAAAGGAAACTGTTTGTGACCTTGAATTGTTTGTGCACATACAAACTCACTTTTTCGGGATCACAGACAATGCTTTTTATTATAACGAAAATCAATTGTCCGTGCACAGACAAAACGGTGTGTAAACGGGCGTATAAGCCGGCGTGTACAAGTAGGTGAAGTAGCATTTTTCTTTAAATATACTTAGAGCCCGTTTGATGATCTTGTTTTTCGGCTTATCAGCAAACTTTTTGACCAAACATGTAATTTTTTATTTCTCGCGCTGGATTGTGTAATAATAAGAAAAAGTATGGTTGAAGTTACTTCTCTGACTGTATTGGTTGAAGTTATGTAGATGATCATTTTAGTTATTTTTTCATATGATTTTTTCTTTATTTAAATAATAAAATATATTTTAAATATAATTTTTAATAAATTAGCAAAATCAGCCAACTCAGCCACTTCAGTCACACTTTCATGAATTTTAACAGAATGAGTCAATACAACGAATTTGGGTATTACCAAACCGGCCCTAAAAAACTTAACAAATCTGGAACGGGAAAAGGGTCAAATAGGCCCTCGAACTTACATAAAAGATTAAATAAGCCCTTATATAGGAGGCTCTGTCCGGCCGTCGCCATTTGGGGCAGTTCCTGGTGGAATTTTTTGATAAAATCTTTTGAGTATCTTATTCATTAAGACTAGTTTACTCATACCAAATTTCAGCTAACAATTCAATCGGGAAGACATTTAAATGAATTCTTGAAGATAACTGCGCTTTTAACTGCGCAGTTATTTTCAAGAATTCTCTTTTTTGATTGTGGTTGATATTTTAGTCATTGGAATCCCAAAAATTTCAACTTGTATTTTAATGAAGATAGTTTTTAAATTTTCGATACTCATTTTGTAGTTATGTATGCTCAATTAGTACTGATGTTCTGCTTATTTTAAATATGACATTGATGCATGTCTCAAAAGTACCATATAGAATGATTCTAGTACTCAATAGAGAAAATTTGATGCTCAATGAAAATGTGTTAATGTCCATCTAACAAAGTTTACGATTTTCATATCAATACTAATTTTGTAAGTTTGGTATGTATATGCTATATTCATTTCAAAGTTTCATATCAATGCATATTTGATAGCTACCATATACATGATTCAAATACACAATAAACGAAGTTGATACTCAAAGAAATGTTTTGATGATCAACTAACAAAGCTTACGATTTTCATATCTCTTATTTTGTAAGTTAAGTATATTCATTTGATAATGATTTTTGATCATTTTAAAATGTCATATAAATGCATATTTCAAAAGTATCATATTACATTAAAATCCACATATTGATTATGTTGTATATGTAATTCAAATAGTTAAAATGTGATATGTGTTGTGCGTGATGTATATGATATTGTGTATGTACACATCTTACTATAAATAGTAAGAGTAAGCGTGGGTGTAGGCGTGTGGTGATTACACAGCATTAATAAAAAATCTTTCTCTGTTAGTTGAGTTAGTTATTCTCCCCATCAATTGGTATCAGAGCTCATCGCTCCTTCGGACCGACTAACCACCGCGAACGGCGCTGCAACCACCTGAGTTCCGTTTGGGTTCCTTCGATGTCGAGTTCAAGCGGGTTTCTTGGTAATCTACCAGTTCTTGATGCGAAGAACTGGGACAAATGGTGTATACAAATGAAAGTGATTTTCGGATTCCAAGAAGTTAGTGAAGTCATCGAAGATGGAATTCCGAGTCTGGGAGAGCATCCAACAGAAGCGGAACGCAGAGATTATCGTGAGGCTAAGAAGAAAGATTGCAAAGCTCTATTTCTTCTTCACCAATCTGTAGATGATTCGCACTTTCAGAAAATTTCTTCGGCTAAAACAAGTCAAGAGGCCTGGAAGATATTAGAACAAAGTCATTCTGGGGGAGATAAGGTAAAGAAAGCTAGACTGCAAACCCTAAAACGCCAGTTTGAATTGCTTAAAATGATGGACTCTGAAACTATAGCGGATTATGTCAATAGAGTTGTGTCTCTTTCCAATTCTATGAGAAGATGTGATTATGAAGTTAAGGTGTCTGATATTAATGAAAAAATCATGAGATCTTTGTTAAAGAAATTCGATTATTTTGCTTGTGCTATTGAAGAATCGAAAGATGTGGGGTCTATGGCTACTGAGAATTTGCAGAGCACTCTTGAGATTTATGAACAAAAAATAATGGAAAGAGATACTGAGGATATACAAGAACAGGCTCTACTGGTTCAGAAATTTAAGAAAGGGGATGCAAGGAAGAATGATCAAAAAGGGAAAGGAAAAGGGAAGGGTAAGACTCACAGTATTGGAAAACCTGACAGAATGGAGTCCATTTCTAATGATGAGAATGATAAGCCAAAAACACAGAAGAAGAAATTTGATAAGAAGAAAATCCAATGCTACAATTGCAAGAAATGGGGCCATTTTGCTGATGAGTGTTGGTTTGGTGAAGGGAAGGATAAAAGGCCTAAGAGCTGGCACAAGGAGGAAGAAGCTTATACTGCAGAAGAGGAAAACTCACAAGATGATGAACCAGTTGTGCTTATGACTACTACATGTGAAGATACAGATATAGGTGATGTCTGGTATCTTGATACAGGCTGTAGCAACCACATGACAGGTCACAGATCTTGGTTAGTGAATTTGAGGAGCAAACAACAGTGTAGTGTGAAATTTGCTGACCTAAGTTCTGTACAAGCAGAAGGGATTGAAGATGTAGTCATGACTGGAAAGAGTGGACAAAAGGTGGTTTTGGAAGAGGTTCTTTTTGTTCCTAAGATGAGATGCAACCTGCTGAGTCTAGGGCAATTACTTGAGAAGGGTTTCAGGACTGTTCTTAAAAACAATCATCTGGAATTATTTGACTCTTGTGATCAGTTAGTTCTTAAGGTTCCTTTATCTAAGAATAGGACCTTTAAGATCAATGTGAATACAGTTGAGGTACAGAGTCTGAAAGCTACATCTGTTCAAGATGATACTTGGTTGTGGCATGCCAGGTTGGGCCATTTGAATTTTAAGAGTCTTCAACAGCTACACAATAAGGAAATGGTGGTGGGGATTCCACATATCAGTTTGCCAGATAAAATTTGTGGTGAATGTGCAGCTGGGAAGCAACATAGAGACACATACAAACATCAGGTGCCTGTGAGGACTACTGGAGTGCTGAATGTACACTACACCAACTGAAGTCATTCATAGCGGTTAAAAAACGCTATAATTTCATTTCACAGCGTTTTATAATACGCTATGACAGGACATGCTATAGTAGATATCCAGCTTCACATAGCATTTTTCAAACGCTATTAGATATAAACAAAAGATAGCGTTTTTAGTGCTATCAAAGATAGAACCACAATATTAGGTGTACTACTTTATATAGCAGTTACCAAACGCTATCAAAGCATAGTTATAGTGTTTTGATGTTGCTATGAATACAAATTTCATACAATTTTAAAAAGTATTATAAGCTTACTTATAACAATACCACATCATCAGGTTCTTTTACCTCCATATATATATTGGAACAAGAACATCAAACATTTCATTTATGTGTACGAATTGATACAAAATTAACTTCACTCTAATTAAACGTACAAAATTAACTTATTTTACAACAAATAATATATACTCAGAACATGTCAATAGCTCATAGTAGCTCATACTAAACAAATATACGAAAATGATAAAAATAATTTTTTTGAATTACATATGACTCCAGATGACCCTCACATCTTCAGAATTTTGATGTATGGAAGCTGTGACATATCCCTGAAAAAATAGCTATTGCTAATGAGATCACATACTCATTTTTAACAAAAAATAAGACAAAAGATCAAGAGAAAAATCCTATGCAAAAATTAGAAGAACGGAGAACGAAAAAATCAAGAAAATAAGTAATTACATATGACTCTAGATGACCCCTCTCTCATCTTCAACAATTGAGGTATGCACTCCGTCACATATCCCTGAAAACAAAAGCTATTGCTAATGAGATCACATACTCATTTTTAACAAAACATAAGACAAAATACATCAAGCTAAAATCCTATGCAAAAAACAGAAGCAAAAAAAAAATGAAGAAAAAAAGTAATTGAAGAAATTTATAGACATGCACCAAACTAATATCGAACATTCCCACTCAAAAGATAAGTAATACTCCCTCCGTCCCAGGGAGAAGTTCCCGGGTTACTGAGGGTTAAATTTTACTGTTTGGCACTGTTTCGACACTGTTTGGCACTGTTTCGACACTGTTTGGCACTGTTTCGACACTATTTTGCACTGTTTGGCACTGTTTTTATATAGGATAACTTTCCATTTAAGGAAATGGGAACTTTTTGTTAGGACTGCCAAAAAAGGAAATTGGGAATTTCTCCCTGGGACGTAGGTAGTAAAAACAAATCAAATCACCACAACTTTTTATAAGTAATTTTACTGCAAACTCATTCTTACCTTTTCAAATTAACTTTACGGCAAATTTAATTCTTACACATTAAACTAAATATAGTCTATAAATACTTACAACCTGGGTTTTAAAGCATAATAAATTTATTAAATAAAATTAACTCACTGGTACTTTTAAAATGGGGAGTAAGGGAGGCAATTGAGGCCTTTTCCCCAATTATAATAAGTACATCAAATTTTCTTCTAACAAGCCAACTCTGTTCCTAGCTAGTTTCGCTACCCTGTTTTAGCCTCCCCCCTCAAAGGCGTGTTCTGGCAGAAGCCGGTGTAGTGGAGTATAGCTTTAAAGAAATATTAAATCTACTACAGCTAAGGCTAGAATGCCTAATTCAATCACTTCTCTTGCAGACCCTTGAATTGCAGGGGAGTGAGCATATCCATTAGTAAATATGGACTCCTTTGAATTGAGATAAAAGCAGTGCTACATTATGTTACTACTCTTGATTGATTTATGTGTATTTCATATATTAAACAACACAAGTTCATAGTCTATGAAAGTTATGATAAAATAGTTTAGAATCATTATAGTTCTTTGTGGATTAAACATACAACTGGACATTGACTTCATAGAATTTTTTAAATGCTTAAAAAGTTCTAATAAACTCAAAAGTAATGAATATTGGACATACAAAAAATAAAACTATGTTATTATCTACAAAATTACCAAAAAAATGAAGTGCAAACGTAATTTGAGAGCATCAAGGAAAGTAAATTTAGAAACAAAGAAAACTTGTAAATACTAACTAGTATGGAGCAGTAAATATTTACTTTTAAAATTACTTACTTTAATTTTCAAAGTAAGTTATATCACAACCTTGGATTTGTCTTCAATTCCTATTAAACAACAGATCCATTCAGCTCTGTCTCTATGAAGAGGCAGATCTCATCATGTACTCTGTCAAGTAAAACCTCAATGAAAAATGCAATTTTCAATCAAATTAAACACAACTTGGGGTAAATCATACCCCGTACAAAACACTGAAAATCTGCAAAATACTAATCAGAGAAGATGAATTAAAGCTTGAAAATCACCTCCAATGAAAATATTCCTGACTAACAAGTCTCTGTTGTTTCCTGGCCTGCACAAAAAATGGTCCTTTAACTAAAATTGATACTAAAAAAACACAAAATTTTTAAAAGTATTGTCTAAATATATAAAACCAACAACAAATCAGAAAAAGTGCTCAATCGAGCTTGGTTTCAATCATAGGAAACAGTGGAAAACAGAAAATTATTGACCAGATATTATAATCCAAAGCTTGAAAATCAACTCCAATGAACATATTCCTAACAAAGAAGTCTTCCCTACACAAAATTAGATGGCCATTTAAGCAAAATTGATACACAAACATCAAACATATTAAAAGCTTAGTCCAAATATCTAAAACCAACTGCAAACCAGGAAAAAAAAACTCAATCGAATTTTGTTTGGAGAAGATTAAAGTAGAAAACACTTGAGCGATTACTTACGAAGATGAATTAATCATTACCCTAAGCAGCAATAATGATAGAGCTGAGAGAGAACGGTGAAGGCGAATCGAGTGAAAGGATAAAATTAAACGATGATTATGTGTGGCTTGAGAGAACGATGAAGGAGACGGCCTGGAAGGAGGACGGTGAAGAGACGGCCTGGAAGGAGGACGGTGAAGGAGGCGGCCTGGAAGGAGGACGGTGAAGGAGGCGGCCTGGAATGAGAAGGGTGAAGGAGGCGGCTTGGAAGGAGAAGGGTGAAGGAGGCGGCCTGGAAGGAGAACGGTGAAGGAGGCGGTCTGGAAGGAGAGAAAGAGAAGAGATTAAATTTATTGTGAAAGGGGAAAACCTAAGCCGCTTTTTTGTTGCCTGCCTATATTTTATTTCGCTCGGTTATCTATCGTAGCGTTTCGTTGTTGTTCCCTGCGTCCTATTTTTATTTAAAAGCAATAATTAAAATGACAAATGTGAATCATAACATAAACCACACAAACGCTATTATATACTGCTATAAAAATGAAATATTGTTGTAGTGGTAGTATTCTCGGATGTGTGTGGCCCATTTGAGCAACCTACATTGGGAGGTAACAAATATTTTGTTACGTTTGTAGATGATTTTAGCAGAATGATGTGGATTTATATGCTCAAATGTAAAAGTGATGTGCTGGGAGTCTTTGTAAAGTTCAAGAAGCTTGTTGAGAACCAGAGTGGGAGTTCAATCAAGATTCTTAGAACAGATGGGGGAGGGGAGTATACTTCAGCTGATTTTAACAAATTCTGTGAAAACTATGGTGTTTTACATGAAGTTACATCACCTTATACACCTCAGCACAACGGAGTAGCTGAAAGGAGAAATAGAACCATTCTCAATATGGTTAGATGTATGTTAAAAGAGAAGGATATGCCTAAATATCTCTGGGGTGAAGCAGCGAACACAGCAGTATATCTGCTAAACAAATGTCCTACAAAGAAGTTGAAGGGTATGGTGCATGAGACAGTCTGGACTGGTGTAAAACCTAGTGTAAAGAATCTCAGGATATTTGGCAGTTTATGCTATAAACATATACCGGATCAGAAAAGAAGGAAGTTAGATGTTAAAGGAGAACCTATGGTATTAGTTGGATATCATGTTGCAGGTTCCTATAAATTGTTTGACCCACACACTAAAACTTTTGCTTACAGCAAAGATGTGATTTTTGATGAAACTCAAGGTTGGAACTGGAATTCAATTCAACATCAAACTAGACCAATTGTTGGGCTGCTTGATGAAGAACCTGAGTCTAATCCTGAGAACATCAGTCAGGTGACAATTGAGAATCAGGCTGATGTTGGGAGTCAAAGGCCTCAGAGAAATAGGCAACAATCTACCAGACTTGCTGGGTATGAGGTTTATGATGATACAGAGATAAATGAAGTAGGTGAACTACTGCATTTTGCTTTGCAGGCTGAGTGTGAGACCCTGGACTGGAAGCAAGCTTTGAGTCAGAAAGAGTGGAAAGAAGCAATGATTGAGGAAATCCAAGCAATTGAGAAAAACTCCACATGGGAACTCTGCTCCTTACCTCCTACCAAGAAGTCAATTAGTGTGAAATGGGTGTTTAAAACCAAATACAAACCTGATGGTACAATCTCAAAGTATAAGGCTCGGCTTGTTGTAAGAGGATTCCTACAGAAGGAAGGCCTGGATTATACTGAGGTTTTTGCACCTGTAGCAAGGATTGAAACAATAAGAATGGTGGTGGCCTTGGCTAATAGGAAGGGATGGAGTATGGCTCAGTTGGATGTGAAATCTGCCTTCTTAAACGGGGAGTTGGAAGAAGAGGTATATGTAACTCAACCACCTGGGTTTGAAGTAAAAGGTGCTGAAGATAAGGTTCTTAGACTGAAAAAGGCCTTATATGGTTTAAAACAAGCTCCAAGAGCTTGGAATAAAAAGATTAATACATATTTGCAGGAGCTTGGTTTCAGAAGTTGTGTCAGTGAACATGGTGTTTATGTCAAAAGAACTGACATTGATGTTGTAGTGATTTGCTTGTATGTTGATGATCTACTAGTGGCAAGTAACTCTCGTGCTCAAATTGAGTCTTTTAAGGCTCAAATGAAACAGGTTTTTGACATGACAGATTTGGGACAGTTAGCATACTTTCTTGGAATGGAGTTTTGCTTCTTTGATAATGGGATTTTTATACATCAAAAGAAGTATGTGCTTGATGTGTTAAAAAAGTTTCATATGCTTGACTGTAACCACGCAAACAGCCCAATGGAACCAAAGCTGAAACTGGGACTGTGTGAATCTGAAAAGGATGTTGATTGTACTATTTTCAGAAGTATAGTTGGGTCTCTGAGGTTCATATGCAATACCAGACCTGATATTGCATATAGTGTTGGATTAATTAGCAGATTTATGCAAGCTCCTAAACAGTCACATTACCAAGCTGCTAAGAGAATTCTAAGGTACTTAAAAGGTACAGAAGATTATGGGATCTGGTATCCTAAGAATGTGGAATATGAAATGGAGGGTTTGGTTGGCTTTTCAGATTCAGATTGGAAGGGAGATTCTGTGGAGAGGAAAAGCACTACAGGATATACATTTATGTTAGATGGAGCTTCTATATCCTGGACCTCAAAAAAGCAACCAAAAGTGGCGCTTTCAACCTGTGAAGCTGAATATGTGGCTGCGGCATATGCAGCATGTCAGGGAGTGTGGCTGAACACATTAATAGGTGAAATACTTGGTGAGGTTCAAGAGGCATTTCAGCTATTAGTTGATAACAAATCTGCAATTAACTTGGCTCAAAATCCAGTTTCACATGGGAGAAGCAAACACATTGAACCAAAATATCATTGGCTAAGGGAGAAAGTGAAAGAGGGAAAACTGGTACTTGTGTTTTGCAGCAGTGAGGAACAAGTGTCAGATATTTTGACCAAGCCTCTGCCAATTGACAAGTTCAGAAAATTCAGAGAAGATCTTGGAGTTAAAGCTCCAGTTTAAAATAGAAGAGTTTTTGAATTAAGGGGGAGTGTTGTATATGTAATTCAAATAGTTAAAATGTGATATGTGTTGTGCGTGATGTATATGATATTGTGTATGTACACATCTTACTATAAATAGTAAGAGTAAGCGTGGGTGTAGGCGTGTGGTGATTACACAACATTAATAAAAAATCTTTCTCTGTTAGTTGAGTTAGTTATTCTCCCCATCAGATTATAGATATAATTTAATATTTTTTTATAAAAATAAATAAATAAAAAGAAAGTGAATTAGAAGTTATGAAGCAGAGATCGCGATTCCTAATATTAGACTCCTAATACTCAACATAATTGTTCTGATGTTCATTAAAAGTTCATTAATGCTCATTCGCCAGAAACCATAATTATCATCTCAATAACGGAGGTTTGATGCTCAGTTAAAATGTTGTGATGTTCAACTAATAAACCTTATGATTTTCATATCAATGTGCACTTTGTAAGCTTTGAATGCTCATTTGGTACTGATGTTATGTTTATTTTTAAATGTCATATCAATGCATATTTCAAAAGTATCATATTACATTAGAATCACATATTTAAATTAATAGGAGTAGATAATAGATATAATTTAATAAATTTTTATAAAAGAAAATAATAGAAAAAGAAAAAATAGAAGCTATGAAGCAAAAATCATTATACTCATTGTTAGCCTCTTAATACTCACTAAAATAGGTCAGATGCTCACCAAAAGTACAATATTGATTATTTAGCGTAAGCCGTGACTTTTCGCTTAAATTACAAAAATATCACCGAAAAAAAATGGCCTGTACTGGTTGTACAATATAGGCTCTCGTCACAGACCTCCAAAAAATTCTTCAAAGTCCGGTTTCTCAATATTGTTATTAACTTAATTGAATTTATTGATCGAGTTCGCTGATACGGAAGTCCTGGAGGCTGCTGAAGGCTGTTGTTCGCTGGGCTACAACTAGAAGTGGACTGCTGGTTTCTTGGAGACATATGTTGTTTGGGCCTGGCGAGGGATCTTAATTGATTCGGACCCGGGACCATATCCTGATGTATTTGGTTGCTCAATACTTGCTTCCTGAGGCTGCTTAAGGCCCAAGACACGGGCCTTAATTGGTTATAAGCTTGGGCTGCACAATTGGGCTGCAAGTGTTCTTTGTTTGATGGGTTTTTGGACTGGTTTCTTTTGATAACTAAGCCCGGGCCTGTCCCGTGCTATTTTTGGATTTTTGGACTATTAAAAATTCTCTCCCTGACCCCCTTCCACAAGGTGGGGGGTGGGAGTGAGATGTTGGATACCCTTTTATGTTAGATTAGCTAGTTTTGTTGGTTTTCTTTTGATTTTGTGATACATTGTATTGAATGATGTTATTTTTGGGTGATTTTTTAATATATTTACCTTTCATCCAAAAAATTGAATACATGTTTATACATAGTTTCATATCCTTATTATATGAGATGGAGAAAATAACATAATCCTTGGAAATTTGAGTCATGGTTTGCTTATTCTATTTCGTACAACATAAGACATGTTGATTCAAGTTTTGTATAAAATAGTTGTGCCGTGATTACGAACGATTGTTCATTAAATATCAAATAACACACACCATCATACAATGGCAATAGGAACACAAGTTTAGCCTTTTGTATGAAGCTCAAGTAAAAAGATCAGAGACCTTTTGATATTAGCAACTGTCCACCATGTGTTGAGTTAAATAATCACCAAGAAATTTATTGGAATAGTCAACAAAAATGAAACCTTGAACAATGTTAATTATGGTTATAACCAATGTGGATCTTGAGGTGCGTGTTACACTTGAATAATCCATCCACGTTACTTTGATCTTTGGTTCTTCAATTAAAAATACAATTGTTTCGATTATACTATATGAGCTTGTAGCATATAGTTACTCACATGAGTATTCACGAATAGTATGCACAGAATGATGGGACTAACTTTTGCCAACCTAATCCCTTCTATGGAAAAAGTTATGAAAGGATGTCTCCCATCCTTTGAGGGACCCTCAACAATGCAGACAGTTTAATAAGAAGTTTAAATTGAATTATAATTAATCTGACTGATAGTGTCACACACTGATAGTGTGTGACACTATGAGTTCTGCGTATATTAATTACATTGGGCCCTTATCGTGCAAGATTGTCTCATAACGTAGTTGTCAATAATTAAACCCGAGTATACCCTTTAATGACACACCCTAGGGCTGGGCATATCGGTTTTCGGTTTAGTTTTTATCGGTTTTGGTTCGGTTCGGTTTGGAACGGGTTGGAAGAATTAGTACCAAACAAAAATCATACTATTTTTCG